CAAGGTTGATAAACAGAGAAATCTAAATAAAAAAATGTATACATATTACTTTGAAGTAGATTACCAGAATGATGAGCCTTCCTCTTGTTTCCTGAGGACGATCTCAATCCATACCAATAGTCCTTTGTGATTTCTGCAAAGTTTTTGAATATTTGCCTCCCATGACAAGTAGCAACACTCTCTGGATGAAACTGGTGTAACGAAGCAAAACCAATTAATTTCAAAATAAAATTGCAAATGAAAATCTAAGACTTGCTATTAGCAAAGAATATTAACTTGCAAACCGTAATGAGGTCTAATGGAGTGCATAATTCCCATAAGAATATTTCCATTCTTCATATCCGCAGTCTTTGAATTTGCGGATAAAGAATGACCTAAATTGTGAAAGGCAGCATGTCTCTCAAAACCACCTGTGTATGAATCGAATTTTTCGATACCAAAAAACGGGATTGTTTCAGATGAAGATGTCCAGGCTATAGGTATTAATTCCTCGGGTAGTGAGCTCGGGTCTATCACAAGGGAGTGATATCGAACCACCTGTAGCAAGTGAATGATAAAAATATCAAATTAGTTTCTTATCTGTTTCTACTTGATAGCTATAGACTGCAGTATAGTACAAACAAACAAGATAGCATCAGTTATTTAATATGCACCGATCAGAAAAATTTATTGGGCTCATAAAAATCTTCGAGATGATGTTAGAAGTATCCAATGTCATATTATAGTATAGTTCCCAGCTGTGGCTGTAACATTAAGCTACTATTGGCACCAAATTATACACAGACAGTGAGGCTTAAAATATTACCAATTTTAAACAAAGGCATTTACGATAAACCTTACCTTAAGTCCCGAATTTGATCCAGAGGGGATCCCATGGAACAACTCACAGTTATTATGCTCAATATCACTGTAAAAGTCAAAAGATAAAAAAGCTTAAAAAGTATGGCTACTAACTGACTTATGCACTGGAAAGAAGTAGTTTTATTATTTAGATCTAAAAAATCAGGAGTTTAAATTCATAAAGAAAACTGTCAACTCTTGAATAAATTTTGGTCTCAGTCCATTAAAATATAGGCTTCTCAAATCATAGGGAATGTAGAAAAGAATGCATGGGTCATGCAGGACCTTTTAAGTGCATCATGTCAACAGTCCAAAAAACAATAACATGGACATTAATATATGTATATTACCTCAAACGTCCATGAATAGGTTCGGGAGCATGAATGACCTGAGCACCATGGACATAACCTAAAGCCTGTAAATAGTTTTCGCTTCTTAACAGCTAATATGCGGGCAAATTAATTAATACATCAACAGCTCCTAAGTTAAATTATAACAATTTTATCATTCACATTCTACAAGCCCAGTACATCATGTCAAATAAATATATACCTGGTGACCAAGACAAACACCTAAAATAGGGATATCACTGCATTCAAGCAGCAGCCTGAGGCATATTCCTGAGATTCACAAATAAGTCAAGTTCAACAATTCTAATATGATAACCAAGTCAAAAGTCAAATAGAAACTATAAGTGCTATATAATGTCACAAATCACAAGAAAACACAAGCACACACACACACACACACACACAGAGAGAGAGAGAGAGAGAGAGAGAGAGAATACAATCACAGCTAATCTGAAATATTTTTTCACTGTGGAATCATTTGCTTCAGTAGGCATTTGGTAAGAAAAACTACTAAAATAGGCTAATACTTCATGCTGGGGCATCATTCAAGTTACATCATCTGAAGGGGTCCAAAATTCCATATAAACACAAAAACTGAAAGGCAATACAGTTAGTAAAATCTAAAAACAAAAAAAGGCTTGAAATCAATGTTATAATTGTAACCTATGTCAGCTGGGCATGCCGGAGAACCAGGACCAGGGGATATTACAATATTATCAAATGCTTTCGCTTCATACAGGTAATAACAAACATCTTCCCAAGACCAATCATCATTACGAATCACCACTGGAGGCACTGTACAGTTTCCAAAAAAAAAAAGTAAGATAAGAAAACACTTTCATTTTTATACTTATAGTAGCTAATCACAGAATATCTCTGACTATAGAAGGGTAACTATCAATTTGACACAACCACGATTTGGATCTCCTTGAGATTCTAATAGTTCAAGTGCAATGATAATTATTCACGAGGGTGAGGAACATATGCTGCTACTCTAAATTGCACTTTTGCCAATTTAGGTTGACAGCTGTCCCACGGTTAACCAATCTCACCAAACTGCAACTACCAACCAAGAATAATTCTAGAAGAAAAAGCTTTATATGATACCTAAAGTTTTTGAACCAGTATACTAGCTAGAAAATGCACGATCTAACAAACCAGATTATCATGTATGAATCAAACATGCGAAATAGATGTAAGATTATTCCAAAGTCCTCATGACGAACAAAGTTCATTTTGTGTCATAAATAGGAGGGTAGACAATAATTGTACAAGTTACATCCAAAACATTACAGAAGCAACAGGATGATACAGAAAAAGAATTCAATGTCTATTCATTCAAGATGGCTCTTCTGATGATGAATTTCTGCATCAGATAAAACAAGAACTAACCTCTACTATAAACTAAAAAACATGTAATGCTCCTGTTTCTCATGTTTTCAAACAAAAAGAAAAAAAGAAAATAAGTCATCTCATTGCTTGTCAATAATACAGATCACAGAATAGAACATTGATAGCAATATCACTATGCATAACTGCCAGAGCATTTCTAACCCAGTCATTGTACGTAGTCGTAGATACAACCCAAGTGGCCTGAAGTTGTTCCTAAATTCATAATTATCAAGCTAGAAACTCGGAGAATATCATACTGACAGTAAATATATCGAGAGAGAGTGAACAATAGTAGATCACTTATGCTTTCATTACAAGCCGATTCTTTTAAATACAAATGTGTGTATCATGATAACGACACACATCATGCTGGACAAACATCAAGTGATCAAATCAAAAACACTCATTGCAATGTCGCCTGTGAGGCTGTGATAACCTATTAAGGCACCAATCATCAAATTATTGCAGGGTAATATTAAAGAACTTCATCCATGCTACTAATAAAGCCAAAATTAACAAGATGGAAATACAGTAATCACAACAAGATAGAAAACCTTACATCCATTAATGACGGAAAGCTCTTGATAAATGTTATATGTGTAACTATCGTAATTGTCGATCAACAATGTCTTAACATATTCCAACTTCGAAGCCGGCTCATGGGGCTTTATCTTCCCTACTTCTGACCCTTCCAATTGCCCGGGGACCAGGTGGCATGAAACATACATTTTCTTTCGGCCTCCACTTTGTTTTTCTTTCCTGCTCAACTCACCAGGTCTACTGAAAGCTTTTGGAACAACAGATTTCGACTTCAAACAAGAAAATGAAACCTCAGCCGAAGAAGGCCACAGCGTAAAACCCATCATTTATAGGTTAATCTTTTTTCTTCTCCAACAATGCAGTAACGAAAAATTATCCTTCCCCAATTCAATTAGCTTGCAAACCCCTGTAAAAAAGAAACCCAAAAAGAAAGCATCCCAACATTTCACTCATTCAAGCTCAATAACTTGGCAAATGAATCCAGAGTAAAACTGGCAAGACAAATATCAATTAATCAGAAGAAATTGGGTTTGGGAAAAAAAGTAATCATAACGCGAAAACAATGATACGGGTTTCATACTATAGCACGAAGCGTGGATAGATACAATGAGCAGATCTCGACACATCACGTAAATTAGCTGGAAACGAAAATGAAGAGTTCCACAGCATTAAGCGAAGGAATTTGTACCTGATAACTAAAGGATGTTCTTCCTTCTCTTTTCCCTATAATTTTCCTTTTTATATCAGTTAGATTTTGCAACTTTTTGAGGGCAATGGCGGCGGGTTTTTTTGGCTTTTTATGTATATATCCGCGAAAAATAAAGTAGTTAATACCATACAAATTCAATAAACCACGTTATTTGAGTTCAACCGTCCTTTCACCCACCAATGGTCACCACCATCCATTACCGGCAACCTTCAAAAGCTTGGCCCGGTCTGCTCGTGTGATCAATGAAACGAACTTAGAGCTCATTTAGCTGCTGATAATAAGAGTTTTTAGTTTTTACATAACTTTTATAATTTTTTTGTGACAATCAAATTTTAATATTTTATTAATTAATATTTTTATTTAATTTTTTGTCATTCAAATTATAGGTCAACATCTCCGAGCCTCCAAATACTTTCAATGAAAAAGAAAGTCAATAAAAGAAAACAAAGGCGTCAAAGAAAGAAGTAAAGAAACAATATTCATTCCTTTCAAATCAAATCCAAAATGATCAATGGTGGTGAAGCGACATTCAAGTTGCATTCATCGTGAAGTTCATCCAACCAATGTTATACTGGCCAAAAATTCACTTTCTAGTTGAATAAGTCAGCTCTCCAAGAAGTCGTCTCCAATCAAATTAAATTCAAACTGTTTAATTCAAGAAAAAGTTATTATACCCTCTAATTAACCTTATATAAATTCAATCCAAGCATGAAGAAGATATAATCGTCAGATCCAGTTTCAAAAATTTCAAGCCCAAATCCTAAAAGAAAAGAATCATATGAGAAATATAGAGATTGTACACGCAATACGGTCTCATCAAATCAAGTATAAGTTGTACAATTATTTTTATGTACTTCATAAAAGCTATTGTCACACTCTTTCTCTTTCTTTCTCCTTTATTTTTTACCTCATGCAATTCTCCTTCCTCCTCCTTATGTTTTCGAAAATTTTCCCAAAATAGCATACCACCCCTATCATCATTTTTTACGACACCAAATGAGTCAGATCTCCATTAGCACCCAACCTCCCAATGGTGTCAGCCATACTCTCTGACTTTAAATACTCCGACAGCCTCACCGTCATTGGAATTGCTCTGCACCGTCATTGTGTGCGAAGCCATCTCGTGGCTGCTCAGCTACTGCGCAGCATCCTGCAAATCATTCAAGTCCACCATCGACAAGGCCTCCAAAAAGCTCGAGACCATGAAGACGACCAACGCGAACCCCACCATTGCGGCCCTCTTTAAGAAATCGTCCAAGAACAAGAAGATTGACTGCGTCGAGACCTCAGTGAAGGAGTCTAGCCGCGACCCCTCGATGTTCAAGTTCAAATCCAGCACCATTGTCACCTTGATTCTGTGCGATGTTCCAATTCACTATATATATGGTTAATGATGTGCTTACTCCAGGAGTTGAACTCCACTCTATTCATAGAAGCTGACCATTGAGAAGCAGAAAGAAATAGGCTCTCAATTACATCGACCCAATGAACGAAACGTCAATGATTATTTGACGTTTATTAAGAGTCCGTGTTTGAGGAATTAACATAATTTTTTTAGTCATGTCACAAGATGTTATAATATAAACATGTTATAAACCATAAGCAAATTAAACATAAACTTAAAAAAGAAAATAGTTCTTAAACTTACAATAAAAGTGTATTCTTTATATAAATTTGGAATATTTTAAAAGGTTAATATTTAATCAAAAATTTTAATATATATGTAAGTTAGCCAAAATTTCTTCAACCATTTTCCTCATAATAGTCTGGGCTCATCTTATAGAAAAAATACAAAAGCCTATAAAAAATGAACGTCAGCCTGGCAAAATTTGGGCCGGTAGAGAGCCCCAAATTAAACACAATACAAAATTGATCAAACATAATTAATATGGAAAATATAGTTTGCAAATCAATACTTCGAGTGAATGTGTGTGTTAATTATAATCTCCAATCATATGATTTGAATTACTACATATCTTACGGATGCACGAATAAGAAAGGTACATGGTATTTAAATATCAAATAAAAATAATTTAGAATACAATATTAATCAGTTATAGCACAAAAGCATTTGATCCACATAAATAATAGTAATAAAACTATTAAAAATTATGATTATCACAAAGCAATATCTGACATATGTACTTAAATACTGAAAAATTGTTCTTCCATCTGTACAATCTATGACACACACACACACACACACATGAAACCAACTATACCATCTCAATTCAGCTTTATTTATATACTTTTTTGTGCAGGCTTATTTCATAGGGAACACTAGGGATAAAACACAAATGCTGCAATTCTAATAATAATAATAAAAAAAAAAGAATATATAATTAGCACTGTTAATAAAATTCCACATGACTGCAGGATTCCCACACTTGTTACTTCCAACACTCTACACGATAAAATCTATCAACTGTTTCGACTTTCATTTCATGTGTATTACTATTTACTACTACTATTTACCACTTTTTCAGTTTTCACCTCCTTTGTCACATTTCCCAATACCCAATTCCCAATGAGAATACACACACAAACCAATTTATTTATTTATTTTTTCATTAATGCAAGGTAGCAATATCTCAATTTGTTATATATAGCTTGAGTGTAAGTAAGAACATTAGAAAAAAAAAAAAATTCAAACTCAAAAGTAAATAATAATAATAATAATAATAATAAACAAAAAAAAAAAGGCAGGTTCAGAATAGTCTGAATAGAAAAGCAACCTTTGCTTTTACAAGACCCAGAAAAGGGAGATTTCAAACCCCAAAAGCATGAGAGGGAGCTTATGAAATTGCTTGGACAGTGTTTTTATAATTTTATTACAGATTTTAAATCATGTTTCATTTTAATGTCATTTTAATGAATGATTCGTGTCTATAATGACGTCACAATTATACACATGTCATTATGGGAGTGAAAACGAGCAGAGCCGAACTCGAGCTCATGGTATTCGAGCTTGAGATAATTGACTCATCAACTAAACGAGTTAGTAATCAAACTCGAGTTTGATTTGTCATGATTACTTTGATGATTTGAACTTGACAAATCGGAGTCGAGTCGAGCTCGACTTGTTAAATAAATAATGTCGAGTTCGAGCCATAATAAGCAGAACTCGAACCTTAACGAAACGAACTACAAAAATATATATAAAAAATTCTTCTTTTCGAGTTGACTTGAGTTTGACTCGTTAACTAAAATAGTTTTAAACGAGCTCGAGCTGAGCTGAGCCTACGACCGGTTCATTTTATTCAAGAACTCTACATGTCAATCGTCCAGCTAAAATGGAAACGTAATCAAATCTTTTCTGCATTATAACACCCTCTTAATTAATTTGCCATCTCTGATTCTGAAGAGATGTATTTCTCTCTCTCCTCATGTCCAAATCTATCTGTCTATATATCTGTCTGTATCTAGTTGTAATAAACTTGTGTTTTGTAGTGTTCTAAGTACAACCCACACAAAAAAAGCTTCTCCCTTTTCCACTCACATGAAACCCCACAAGAAAATTTGGACAGATATCAAGATTTTTTAACTAACCCCCCTTTTAATATTAGCTAGCTAAGCCTCACATCATAGGTTTGCCTTTATCTTTGTGTATTCTGTGCGTATGTGTCTTCTTTTCCCTTAATTTTTGTGTTCTTATATGTGTTCCTTTGTAAGGGTTTGATGTATATATAGCGTATGAGGTTTAATTGTAGGGTTTGGTTAATTAATTTGTTTTCCTCATCTTTATTTTGGATTTTTGAAGCAGCCCATGAAAAAAAAATTGAATCTTGGTGTCTTCAACTTTAACTAACCATATTGTTTATAAATTAGAGTCATCTCAACCCTATTTTTTTCACTCTCATTCTCATGTACAATTAATTAAACCTTTTTTCCTTTTCTCTTTCTTCTTCATTCTCTCTTTCTTTAGTTTCCACTGTTACATTATCTTCTTGTTTTGATCATCATAAAAGATCTTAATTTTATAGGGATATATATTTATATACACGAGAAATTGAGCATACACTTTGCATGTATAGAGAATAATGGCACATACCATTTCATGCTATTAATAATGTAATTAAGCTAGTAAGTACACACACAAACACACAAATATATATTTGTATATATGTTCTTGCATTTTTCATATATTTGCTAAATATATTATATATATGAATTTGCCTGGCTCCCTGTATGCCATTTGCAGAGCTCATCGGAAAAGTCGATGGCCCTTTGTAAATGGCGTATGAGGAGCCAAGCATATATGTATATATACACACTTGTATAATATATGTTGTGATTAATTTTACTGAAATATTTGTCGTGTTTAATTTTTTTGAAAGAGTGAAAACAGGATTGCAATATTGGGTAACAACGTGCTTCTCTCAAGGGCATTGTAAATGATATATTACTACGATGCCAGGTAAATTCATTTTTGTACTTTTGTAATTATTCTTCAATCATGAATATATAGCCTCATTTCTATGTTAATTTGTCTTGTTAATTATTCCTTCACAATTAGGTTTTTTCACAAATTCTTGGGTGAATTAGTAGTCGATGATGCGCTATACTTTTGAAATAAAAAATAATTATTGCATAATGTTAAACTTTTAAATTATTTTTATAGTATGACAGATATTCAAATATGAAATTGTGCATATTTGTTAATAGAAATTAGGTTTGTTTAATCAGATCTATCTACAATAGTTGGCCTTTTTTTAGCTAGAGGTGTGGATATATAGTTAGTGATCTTCTATTAATTAGTTTTTAGGAAATATTTATGGGAATTAGTTATAATTGCTTGCCATACAGATTCTTAATTATCATTTGTAGTATTTAGTTTTTTGTACTTGCATAATGAGGTGGGAAAATTTTGATATTGTTTAGTTAAAGCATTTGTTGTTAATCCGACGTCTTGTTCTCAGAAATTAATATAACCTTGAGTGAAAAACATAGATTCGTTAGATATACTTTTATTTGAGTGATATTTTCTTATTATGAAAATGCATTTGCAGCATTAATAATTATTTTAATATGATCAATACGATATAATAATTAATTATAGTTCGATAAGAAAATAATAGAATAGCAATTGATGATAAATAGTAAATTTTAAATAAACATATAGTTATAACTTTTTTAATTTAAAATGATAATAATACGAAATAATGTAAGAAGATTTATTATAAGTGACTAGTATATTTTTCGTAGATGGATATATAAGGATGTATAAAACCGTGGGATATAATGCATCTTAATTTTA